CATTTTCTAGTTCTATAACAAGGTCTTGCTGTGAAAGACTATGCTGTCAACAGTCAGCAAGCTAAATCTGCAAATTTAAGTTGCTGTAAAACCTACTCAAAGTTTAAGAATTTTCAGAGTGTTCCTGTACTTCAGATTCCTGCCTATATGCACACAGTGTGACCATCTGTCCTAAAATATCTGTATGTCCCTAGCTTTCCTACTTGCACTGGAAGGGACTCTACATACTTTCTGAAATTAAGCTATACATCTGTGCTCATATAGGTGCCGAAATGTTGCACTGTTCTTGCAGTTGGTTGCTTTTATTTTTGGCATTTTCACCAGCCCAAATAATTAGTTAATTAGATGCACTATCTCCAAAGATAAAGGAAAAGATTTCACCTTGAAAACAAAATCATGCAATTTTGTATGGGAGCCTGGAGATTAGAATCCTTTGTGGTGATGCCATTCACTTTGGCTTTGCACTGACTTGATTTATCTCAACTGATAGCTGAGGGCAAACTTTCACTGAGGTCAGGAGTTGTAAAGACCTCACTGTGTACCTATGTGCAAGAGTCCAATGAATCAGAGGTTGGCTCATGCATCCAGACTCAAAAAACTTTTATTTAAGCTTCCTCCTCTAAATTTTAACTGAAGCAGTGTTTGACTGGACACTTCAATCATCCAGAGAGGGGACGGCTGTGCCATGGACTCTTCACACAATGCAGAAGATGGGTAGAACAGAGACAGCAAATGTTGCTAGCCAGCAACTAAGGAGTTCATGCTGAACACCCTTTCTCTTCCTTGTGCTATTTTGAAGAAGTCACTTCTGAAATGTTTTTTTTTTTTTCTCAAACCTTACACAGGTAAAAAATGATACTGACTGCAGTATATGTCTAGCTTTAACCCTTTCCTGTTTTAAAAGCCTAGCTTCTACTTCCAAACAAAGTGCCGCCTTCTTTGCAGTGCCCCTGGAGAAACCTGTGTGTCACAAAATATTTAAGAGTTGACAACAGCAGTATTTTAGAATTCAAAGGGTCAACATAATTTGAATTAGCTTAATCTCATGAGTCTGTGAATCTGGGTTAGAAATGCTGGCTAAGTAAGTACTCTGTCCACCTTGCCTTAGTCCTGCCTACAATACAGAGACAAGGAGGAAAGCAGATGTGGGGAAAAAAAGAAAACAGTTCATTAAAAGCCAGGTTCTAAGCATCTCTATCTCCTTCAGGTCATTACAGCCACACCCAGGGAACACACTGAATTTCACTGAAAGCTCCTTTTTTCTTTACTGTCAGCATCTAAGCCTAGTTGGCCTTAAGCCCCTCAGAGCCTCAGGAGCTTTCCCTTCACTTCATCAACAAGCAGTTTTCTAGGCACAGGTTAAAGAGCAGGCTGCTACTTGCATAAGGAGAGTTACTGCAGAAACATCAATATGCCAGACTGTCTGGAGGAACCACAGTTAGCTCAGCAACTGTGTCTCCTGACAGTCCCCACCATTTTGTCACAGTCCCCACTCTGTTAAAACTAACAGGGGCTGGAGCCCCTTTCCTACAGAGAAACAATATACACAGGGACCAGTGTGGGTGATCCTTGCCTTCATTTAGATACCATAAAGCAGATGGATTCACTGGGGCTCACGAGGAGTCCTCTGCTTAGCAAGGAGGCACATGGATATGCTACCATGAGGGAATGTGCCATGACACCTGCAGAGCGGATGCAGTGAAGGCATGAACACGGGTTGGAAGGGACATCAGAAATGCCAACGAGAAACATGAGAAAAGGAGCCCTGGGGTCACGGCTGAAGGAGGACAAAGGCAGTTTGTGTTTTCTCCCCTTTGGCCTGGAGTTCTGGTGGCAGAGGCGTTCTCTGGATTCACCAGTCCACAGTTTTGTTGTCCATATTTGGAAATATATGGGCCACATGATCTAACTTAATTTCCCATACTCATATTATTGAACTAATGATATACCTCCTCAGGGTGCAGTGAAACACACCTCACACATTCCTGTTGTAAATACATGACTGTAACAGTGAGGTGTCTCCTAAAGCCTGAAGAGTTGGTGTTTCTACCACCACCGATGTATTTAGACTGACTGCTAAGCTGTGTGTGATTCTACTCATTTTCTGTGGATGTAATTAGCTCACTGTCCCTCAGAGTAAACACAGCATTTTCCAGTTATTATACATGAATTCTGGAATTCACAACAATTAACTGATTTTCTGTAAATCTATCTACAGGAAGAAGAGCTAAAGATTTGTTGCTAGACCAACCTGTCAATACTAAAATGTCTAAAGAAACACTAAATGCACTGTAATCGCTCCTGAAAGTCCTCATATGTCCCCAAGCATAATAAAAACTTTACAGGGAGTCATTTAGCTGCTTATTAAACAGTTACTCAGTGCCATCCCATACATCCAAGGAGTTCACAAAACATTCAGGTGAGCCTGACAGAGAGGACACAAAGAGGGTTCCCTGCTTTTCCACAGCAGCAGCCAGAGATCAGACAGGACCTGTCAAAGAGCACTTGATGGCTTCATTTAGCAGATAACTGAGCTGTCAGTGTCTGTAGTAACTGGTTGGGCAGGAATTTTCTATCTATTGGCTCTAATCATCAGGCCCAAACCACAGTGGCTCTTTTAGAAAGATGGAGAGATGCTGTAAACCTCCAACAATGTTCAGTTTGATTGCAAATAAATAGAGCTTTTAAGGACAGCGTCTAGCAGGCTGCAGCTTTTGTGATTCACAAGCATCTTTAGGAAGTGCCTCATGGCATAGACTCTGTACCTTATAAAGGTAAAAAACTTGCAGCTCCTGGGCTGCTGCCTTTGTTTTTGCAGAGGTCCTTCCAGTACTTGACTTTAATCACTTAAAAAGTGCAAAGTGCAAGTATAGCATCAACCACTTAACAATAGTTTGTCTTGTCCCTTTACTGCCCTCTCCTCTGGCTGCTGTTTAAAAGCAGTCTCTATAACATCAATATTTAACTCAAGGCTTGCTCATTCTCACAAGGATGGGGATTGCTGTACATGTGGGCTACATCACAGTCCCTAGACAGCTGATAATAATGAAAGCATCTTTCAAGATGAGGCACTTGATTGCTACTCCAAAGCTTACTGAAGGAAGAATGTGCACTCTTATTTTTTTATTGCATTTGAAATGAAATAACTCCTTTAAATATTAGTCATCTGGATTTATATATCTCTTTTTTAGAACTAGATTCTCACCTGGCAAGCCAGCCTGAGTAAGCATCAGGCTATCCCAGTTGCAGGTGCATTTCATTTCCCTTTCCTCTTTTTGCAATGTGTGATGGATTTCTTTTTTTTTCTGATATGATTTCCTTCCCACTTGACAGGAGACAAATCCACGCTCTTCACCCAGCTGCCTGATGGCAGCCCGGGGAAGGGAAGAAGCTTGGCAACGGGGCCCTCCATCCAGCAGAGCTGAGCAGCAGTGCTGCTGCCTGTGCCAACACTGCTCTGCCACATCTCGTGGGCAAGAGCTGCTCCCTCAGGGCAACGGGTATCCCAGGTACAAGAAAACAGAGTGGAAAAGTACTTTATTTTCTGGCTGTGAGACAAAAGATCATGGGGATTTTCAATCTGACTGTCCATGACAATTTCCTGGGCATTGAAAGAGATTTTTCCTGCTAAAATACCCTTTCATCTCTGCTTTCCAAGCTGTCTTTGTAATTCCTTTCCCAGGTGTTTCACTGTTGTTTTTTTCCTGCCTTTGCATTAGATTTCTGCAGCGAGGCACAAATACAAAGCATGCTTCTGGCACAAAACACACTGCAAAATTCTGCTTGTCCTCTGCCTGGCTAAAAGCTGTGCAGAAGCCTTCCTCAAGTCTTCTGCACATCTGGAGACAACACTGATAAAGACAAACAGCCAAATGATGCTACCTAATGATTGCTTTTTCCTTGGGGGAAGTGGAAGTGCTGAGAAGGATGCTGGATATACTTCACAACACTGTTCCCAAGGGAGTTTATCTAAGCAGAGAGAAGAATTAATAGGCAGCCTTTTAGGGAGGTAGAAATTTGTGAACATATAGAAGCATTAAGGAGATTTGCTGAAATATCAAACAGCTGGGACCTAAAAGTGTCCATGCAGGGTGGAGGCCACATCCCTGCACCCAGCTAGGGCAGGTGGTGCTGGCGAGCTCCATCCCCACTGCAGAGGGACTGCCTCTCCAGGGACCACCCGCACAGCTCCAGAAAGGATCTCCAGAAAGATCCTGTGATCCCTGGTGCTCCAGAAAGCACCAGGGATCACAGGAATACTGGCCTGGAAGGAAGCTGGCAGAGCTAGCCAGTAGGAACTGCAGGCACAAGGTGTGACAAACATGGGGATGCACAGGTGGAAATTAGGAGGAACTTGGATGGGTTAGATAAGGCTCGGGAGCCCTGATTTTTATGAAGAGAAGTAGAGGAGTTTTAGCCTCTATGTGCATCAGTGGGAAAACTCTTCACTTGACATTGACTCCTGACCTGCATCTAACTTTTGTTACAGTTGTCAGCAACTTAAAACCAGTGAGCCTGACTATGGTAAACCAGTAGAGGTCCAGTGTCTTGAAGACAGCCAACCTGCAGGATGGCCTAAGCAGAGTGCTTGAATTTTTGCCTGCTTGTAAATGAATTTGTTTTGGACCACCCAGACCCCCCAAGATGCCCACCTGGTGAAACAGGAGGTCATGTAACTCAAGGGTACGCACAGTTCTGCGCCTTTATAGGAAAGCATCCTTCAGGGCTAGGGCATTAGGGAACCATTTGGAGCTAGGGAATAATATATAACACAATGAAAAGAGGGAATTTCCAAAATTCCAAAAGGCCGATGATTATTCATCGATCAGAAAACAGATCTCCATCTCCACTGAGAACACTTTTTCCTCCATTTGCTACATAGAAAATGTGAAACAAGCCAGCTGTGCCCTTTCTCACATCCTTTCTCCTTCCTTCTGTCCAGGCATTCCCATAGCTCCACCCTCCCTCGGTGCACCACGGCCACACCAGCAGCTACTTACTCGGCACCACTAGCAGCCTCGGGGGCGGCGGAGGTGGAGGAGGCGGTGGTAGCAGTGGAGGTGGCCTGCACCGGCAAATTTGCTGGCAGCTCTCTGGGACTTCCTCCCCTGCAGGCTTGGAACATGACCTCTGGGGCTCACCCTGAGTAATCTGTGAAGAAACAAGTCATTGCATGAGAGACAGAAAGAGTGAAGACTGACCTTCCGTTAATGTGTTTCTTGGACTTGAGTACCCGAGTGGCATCTCAGACCTGCACTGAGAACTGAGCTCATGTTCCTCACTAAGACCGATACAAAGATGTCCCCATTTTTTATATTTTATTCTTTTACTTAACACAGTACCTTCAAGACCTTTTTCCTTCTGTCAAATCTGTTTGAAAGTGGCCAGATGGTTTCTGAGTTATTGTGGGGTAAGGAGAAAGCGGACAATGGCAGACAATATGATTGCATAAGCCTTCTTTCCTTAGGAAAGCCATCTAGCAGCATGCATTATTCACAGGGTCATTGCTGCAAGCCAAAAAGAGCTAATAAAAATTACAAGACAGTTAGGGTCATGATTATGTTCATTTTCCTTATGGCAGAACTGAAAGCCAGAGGACATCTCTGCTCTGCTTCGCCAGCCTTGCTTTGATCTTGAAAGAACATTTCATGGAGCGTTTCACTTCCCACCAAGAGAAAAGGAAGCCTACATTTTCCTCATCTGCAGACCACAGCAATGACATGGTGAAAATGGAAATGCCACAAACTATGACTTGTAGCCTGCATAACATGCAGCGTCAGCTAGTAATAAAATTGAAGATGAGGCATTGCAGAACCCAAGTGTAGGCACTGTGGAACTCAGGTGTAGGCACTGCTTAGCCATAGACAAGGATTTAACCAGTACTGGTATACAATATATTCAGTAGCTTGATCTACGCATGACAAGGATCCTCTATTAACAGCCTATTTTTCTCATCATCAGTAGTATTTACATGACTAGGGATTTAATGAATACTCAGTGAGATTCCTAATCTAAAGCTACTAAATGGAGTAAGTCCTTGATGAAAAGGAAATTTGCTGAACATCACAGAAGCTTCTGAGAGGTGTTAATTTTAAAGGTCTGTAAGCCACCTCCTTTCAAATGGACTGATACTCAGATGGAAAATTCTGGACAGAGTTCTAAGGAGACAAAGCCTAAAAGGTGAATAAGCCTATTATCTAACATGCACTTTGAGTGTAGGATTAGACAACCACCAGGGACAGACAGTCTTGCTGAAGCTAAGAATAGTTGTGCTAGCATTCAGTTGTTGCCTTGTACAATCTGGTCTTGGACAGGTTATTGTCCTAATAGTTTTGGCCTAACATCTTCTTTACTTAACTCTTCCATGACATGTTGGCCATTACAAGGAGCACATCTCATGTCATGCTTTCTGATCTGTTTTAGGGAGGCCTCTTCTGCCTTTCTGCCTGTCCCCAGCATTATCCAGGGTTGCCTTCTTCCACTCCTCTCTCCTCCCCAAGCTTCACTTCCCTTCCCCTGCCACCTCTGGGCACAGAGTCTGTCCCCTCTCCCCTTTCAACCCTAACCCCCAGCCCCCAGCCCAGCCAGAGAACCTCTCCCACCACCCACAGCTGGGCACCAAGGGTGCTGTGCTGCCTCTTGGCTGCAAGAAAGCTGTACACAGTCATTTCATGTATTTCTGGCCCAAAAGAGAGATGTGGCTAATTAAAACAACATCACTGCACAAAGGACATGTTCGCATGCGTAGGAGGTTTCTAAATGCAGAAAGATGCATTACTCTGGCCTCAGGGAAATGGAGGTAGGTCTTTGTTGATTAAATATTAGAGAGAGAGGGAAGAATAGAAGAGGCTACGTGTAGCTGAGTTGGGAAGGACGGCTCGACACAGTACAAGTCAGAAGACTCAGTTCTTTAAACAGCTTGTCAAAGTCTATTACCAAACATGGTGAAAAACAAATTCAGTGTAAGTGCTTTCCAGCTTTCCTCTTTACCATCAGGTAACAGTAAGAGCATGGTTAAAGACCATCCCAAACAGCTTCCAGGAACTTACACAAACTCTCTGAACACTCTAATGAATCTAAGTGACGTGGCTTCATAATCCCTCATGGCGGGTAATAAATCTGTCTGCTAAGCAGGCTTATTTATTTTTCAAGTGAGTGACCTCAGGCAGCAGAATATCCTCCTTCAGCTCTTCCAGCACTGTCCACATGCTGGGTTGGGCTGCTAGGGACTCTCCCAAGAGAAGCCCCGTAGGACGAGTGCCCACTCCGTGCAGTGGCAGTGGCACACCTGGGTTACTCTTGGTTGCACTGGGATGACAACTTTTACTATGCTGACAGAGGAGGTAGGACAACATCTCTTCACTGGCCCCAGCAATTCATTAGGAAGCAACTACTAACTCCTAGCTACAATTAACATCCCCTTCATAGTTCCCTGGTTGCTGAGTCCTACGGCTGGCTACAATCTCACAGGAGCCAGTGCAGTGGGAGAGGAGAGAGACAGGGAAAAATAACATTGAGCAGACTTGGAGCCAGCTTCATTTGCAGACCAGAAGCAGCTTTGTGTATATAAGTCTGAAGACAGTACTGGTATGGAAAAGCTACACTGACTTATTGCTCTAACTTAATATCAACCAGGACCAAAGGCTTGCTCTGTCTTTTTTTAGAGCTATTGACTGCTTTTAAATCTCTGGAGACTCTCCTACCTTAGGTTGGTAATAGACTGTCCTCAGGAACCAGTGGATATTTTTCTCAATTAATTTGCAGACAAGATTAATCCTACACATGCCTAGCTACTCCTTGCTCCTGTGTGCTTTTAAAATATTATTTCTAAAAAAAAAAAAAGGCAAGAAGAAGATGCTTTGTCTTTCAGTACCTCAGCCTGAACCTTTACCAAAATTCCCCACAATCATTTTGAAAAAGTTAGAAAAGAAGTGACATTTAAAAGTATAGGCCTTATCATCTATTTGTTTCCCTTCTCTTGTCACCCATTAAACTGTCTGGTTGTTAGAAGATACCTGTAGCAACACAGATACTACCTTGACAGGGATTTGTCTTACAGGTTTAGTTTAAAATAACAAAGATATCATAAATTGGCTGAAATCTGGCAGGAAGAGGAAAGACCCGAATCAAGGTTGAGGATCTCGAGGAGGGGGAAAGTAGTCAAGGACTGCTGAAAGAAGATTAACTAACAGTAGCACGAATCAAGGAAAAAACCAAAAGACATTTGGCTCCTTTTCAAGAAAAAAATTCCCACTGTTGATTCTATTAGTCTTCTTATGAAGGGAATGAAGGCTATTACTTGTGCCTTCTACAGGTAAGCAGAACAAATCACTAGAAAATATGCTTTAGGGAACAATGTTGCTCCTGCAGAGGAGCATGAAATAAATTACTCCATGTTTCTTTCCTGCTGTCCGCAATTCAAGGTAAGCTGCCTTTACAGGAGATGGCAGGACTAAAAAAGGCATGTTCAAAGACTCTAACCTTTCTCTTGCCAGGTCTGCTAATTTGAGTCTAGCCTCAAACTTTACTGCTTGTTTGTTCTGCCTGACACTACCACAGCTTTGGAAGCACTTCACAGACAACGACTAACGAGACACCCACTGGGCTGCAAAACAGTTCGCAGCACAGAGCCTGCCTTGGCAAGGGGTCATTGCCAGAGATGGACCACACAGGGCTTCCACCCCTAGTTGTTAATTCTGCACCTTACACCCTTTCCTGCAGGGGCTGGAGATGCCATGAACATCTGTCTCTTCAGCCTGTCTAACACTTGGTAGCTTTTTGGTATGAGGCTTTCTTAACACGCTCAGCAGTTGGTCAGTTTGGACATGTATCTTTGCCTGGACTTCAAGCTGATGCCTTTTTTTGCCCCACTCTGAAAATACACAGAGTTGACTTTATGGATTTGTGCATTTGATATAGAATCATAGAATCATAGGGGTTGGAAGGGACCTCGACAGATCATCTAGTCCACCCCCCCTGCCAGAGCAGGACCACCTAGAGTACATCACACAGGAAGGCGTCCAGGCAGGGTTTGAATGACTCCAGTGAAGGAGACTCCACAACCTCTCTGGGCAGCCTGTTCCAGTGCTCCGTCACCCTCACAGTGAAAAAAATTTTCCTGATATTCATCTTGAACCTCCTATGCTCCAATTTGCACCCATTACCCCTTGTCCTATCATAGGTCATCACTGAAAAAAGCTTAATCCCATCTTCCTGACACTCACCCTTTACATATTTGTAAACATTGATGAGATCACCCCTCAGTCTCCTTTTCTCCAAGCTAAAGAGACCCAGCTCCCTCAGCCTTTCCTCATAAGGGAGATGCTCCACTCCCCTAATCATCTTTGTAGCCCTACGCTGGACTCTCTCCAGCAGTTCCCTGTCCTTCTTGAACTGAGGGGCCATATGAACATGCTTTGCAAAAAGGACAAATGTTTTTAAATATTCATGGAAATGAAAATCTGACCCACAAATGTACAGGGAAAAGCAAATAGAAGGCGGTAACTGGTGGTTTCTTTTGCAGTCTCTCTGCCGAAGTTTGTGCCTCTGGCTTATTTCTTTTCAATCCAAGATTTCCATCAGAAACAGCGGTCCTAGTCCTGCTCCGCATGGAGTGGAAGAATAAATCTGCATCTGGTCAGAGCTGTTTAGTATTTCAGTAGAGTCCCATGGGATTGCAGCAGTCCCTGAGCATGCTCTACAGAGTGGGAAGGGAAAAGAGGATTTATACAGTCCCCAGAGTGTGGCCCTCTTGTGACTTTTTGGATCAGGTAAAAGGAGGAAGCTTGAAAAGTGCAGTTGACTGAAAAGGCACAGAGACGTCTAAAAGCTTGCTAATGTGGCAAGAGCTTTGTCTCTTGAAGCAGTCTACAGAGATGAGATCTCAACACCGCTGTGTAAATCCCAAGACAGCTCTGCATAATTCACATCAGAGTTAATCCAGATCCATGTTTATGAAACCAGAAGAAATGTGACCCTGCTATTTATCATGACACTTACTGCTCTTTTTTTTAATTCTGTCAAAAGCCTCAGACAGTCATCCCTTTCTTCTTGTCACAGTGCTGGCTATGACTCTAATAAGACAAGACTGGGGGGGTTGTTTTGCTTTTAATAAGATAAATGCTTCTCCTCTGATTAGCATCTGACTGATT